ATAAACTTTGTTTATAACAAAATATGTGCAAATTAGACAGTTGGCATTACGATATTCGAATTCCTTAGCTCGCGAGATATCGGATTAAAAAAAAAAGATCGACATTGGTCCATTAGAAGCCGAAACAATTTTTTTTTGTATCTTCGCATTTTAAACCCTCCGAATTCAGTCTCGGAGCGAAAGCCCCCTCCCCCACTTTTCGTGTTTTGAGTCACTTTTCGCGCGTGCGAGCGACAGCTTTTCCGCTGATATATCTATGTTGCCGATAACTTATAGATATGAAAATTTTTCCAGCTTAAAACTCGGAAAAACAAAGCCACAATTAACGGTAAATGCCGATAAACTTTGACCGCTTATATCTCGAGAACCAATAAATGGAATTTAACTTATTTTTAAAAGAAGCGTCTTTCCGCGTATTTTAAAATTATAATTTTTGAAATAAACTAAATTGCAAATTGATAAATGTAATCTAATTGTTTAAAAATAAAAAAAAGTGTTAACTTTAAAAATTTACTGTGGCAGTCCTAATCATCCGATTTCAATTTTTCAAGAACCATTTCAAAGGCTGAGCGGTCTTTTCTATATGAAAAAATTTCAAGTATCTAGATGCCTTTTTTGAGGCTGTACAAAATTTTTTTTTCAAAAAATTATTATGCGAAAACTATAGAACCAATTTTAATGAAATTTGGTGTGTTGTTTTATTATACTCTAAAGTTTTTTACCAAAATTAGAATGCCCTCGGTACAATTAAATTGTTTTATAAAAAAAAATTCCAAAAAACTTTCATCAATTACTGCTATTTTGCAACATCTATAATAAATTTAAACATTTTTAACTTACAGTATTGCAAAATTCAATTCTAAAAGTATTTTTTCTTTTCAATATTCTTCCAAAATGCATGGGTTCCATCAGCTTAGAGGAGAAGGTTACATTTTAGAATAGAAGTGATATCGTTTAAAATATTAAAAACAATAAAGGACCAAGGACTGATCCTTGAGGGACTTCAGAAATAGCGTTGATGTCTATCGATGCAAACCAGATACATCATTTTTAATTTTAGATTATTTTTTTATAATTATTATTTAGTGATAGTCTACTAGATATTGCTGGTACGAATGTAGTTCTTTCCCGCAATATCATCATACTCTGAACCGAATTTGAAATGTTCAAGTCAAAAATCTCGCGCGCGACGGGAGCGGGGTTTACACGCCTGCGCGGGCTCGGCACTCCTTTTCCCGCGTTCAGACCGTTCATTAACGTTAACTTTTACTGCTGCTAGAGCGTTTATTACATGAACTATCAATGTGAAACTTTCTGAAAATAAAAGTTTAACCCTTTATTTAATTGTCTATAAAATCCCGGTCCTATAGGTACAATGATTAATTAACAATTAACTTTATAAAATGCTATCTTGAAAACAACGAGACGTAGGTGTTTTCTCTTTTTTTTTTTAATTACCGTAAAAATAAGGCTATTTAATGCAAAAAGAGCGAATTCCCGAGCGGCTTTTGCCTGTTTTGCACGTCCTATTTTGTTAGCTGTAAAATTAACATTTAGTAATTAACAATTAGTTGCAAAAAACGAACGAAATTTATTTTACAGTTAGCAGATTGATGAAATATGACTTTAGATACCTAAAATTATAGGTAATTTAATTGCCTACAACATAAAATGACTAATTTTCCGATAAGTCGTCTAGGTTTACATTAGCGATAAAAAAAATGAAGAAACACGTAATTTTTCAATTTGCAAACATCTTTCGAGTTAATTTTTTGATATTATCAGTCTACATATCCTTCTCCGGACAATAAAATGTCTACTAGTCATTTCTATACGTTCAAATTCTAATTCGACTGGAGTATCTGTGAAGATATGTTTTTGTATACCTAGAACATTGCTTGGATTCATTTAATATGATTTGTAAGAGAATTTTTTGAATTATTTTAATATCTTTAAAATAAACTAAAAGTACTACTAAAGTTAATAATAAAATATGTATTTAAAAAAATTCTTATACACTTTGCTTAATTTTTACAAAATTTCTTTAAAAAAATCGTACGCATTTCCCTTAGTCTAAATCTGTCCAGGACAAAGAAATATCTTAAGCCGATCCTGACTAGAATTTCCTAAACAAAGCCGAGGTCAAAATCGTACATGTCTGACCACCTGGTGAGCACTACTAAGTGAACATTAAACAACTTATGTAACAATTGCCCCTGTCGGAGTATTAAATAAATGTTTATTTAATCCCCCATCTCGAATATTGTCACATCGGCGTAAAGTAGGTCACAACAGTGGGGCTAGGAGCTATCCCGCCGAGGAGTTTGGCAACACCTTGCTCGGCTGTTACGTCGCTCGCTCCTATCAATTTATATATTTTTTGTTTTCGGTAACAACGCCATAGTCATAAATTCGGCGGCTCGTAGGGGGTAACTGTTCAATTTTTCCAGCAGCCGCCCTGGGGAGGTGATTCCGTAATAAATAAAGATATTTCCGGGGCTCGTCGAGGGGATAAGGCCTTCAGGGCATGTCCCCACGTGTTCGGAAATGTCTGCTGGATTCGCTTCGTTAACCTTTCGTTGAAGTTTTTAGTCGGGCTTCGGGCCATATAATAATATAGTAGAATATAAAAAAAACATGGTCAATAATAATAATGATGACATTATTTACGTTTTTCTGTGATTTTAAACATCCGTTGCATAAGTACCAACAAAAGGGTTATCAATGGAATGTTTATCAGTAAGATTGTAACCAAACAATTGATTCTTAAAATTTTACTAAATAGATTTCTAGCTGATCTGATATTGATGTAGACGTATCACCTGACTTAAATTAAAGACTATCAGTTTTACTAATCCATGTTTATACTTTTAAATATAGAATCTCTCAATTCGAAATAGTATACAGGGTGTAACTGCCATTACTTCAGCATGAGATAGAGTAATCATAAATGAACAAAAAAGTTGTATATTGCAGTGGCGTAAGATTAACAGTTTTCAAAATACAGCGAGTATTAACATTGGGGAGTTTCATCACAACGTGACAACAGCCTGCTGCCTGTGCTGTTAACCTGCTGATGCGCACTGCGTGTGTTCGCGGCAGACTTGTCCTACGGAATAACAATAATGTAAACAACTATTATTGTGAAACATTTAGTAAATTTCAACACAATTGTTTTCCAGTTTTTTAATAAATAAAATAAAATGTATCGACTTTGTAGCACGAGTTGTAGCGTTGTGGTTAAGTTTTAGCTCGGATTTTAGTAATTGGGTGATTCGATTCTAACAGTGATTATTAATGTCCTGTGCTGTTTGCTCTAACTGGTCATACATTAACAATGTATTTACAAACTAAACAGTGCTTTAAAATATATTACATTTTATAAAAAATATGAAACGATTAGTAAATATTTTAATTTTTTATTTTGTACATTTTATAAGAAAAAATAATATCAATATTAGTTGTAAATAATGAAAAATATATTAATTTCTTAAAACAATTCAGAAATATTTTTAATGTTCGTTCTGTTCGCACTGTTTTTAAAATAACATTGTGACTTTGAAATAACAAATAATTGTAATATTCAAATTAATGGTAAAATCACTTTTTATTTATTAGATACGTAACCGTAAACTATTAGAATTAGCTTTATTAATGGTTCACTTCAGTTACTCTCCACGTTACGTCATGTGCCTAGTGAACCGATTTTAGTTCACGGAAATATCATACTCCTAGTATTTGTGTTAATTTTATCCAATGCAATCAATTCGCCACTTTTTTATTTTATGATAGCTAGGTGATTCTTTAACTGAATTTTGAAAACAAAATCTGCAAAAATATTAATTTTCAGCAAGTCCCACTTCTGATTGTTATAGTCCAAATAAAATAGTCACAGACTCCTGTAATTATTTCAGCATGAACAATTTTGTTCCCACTTATTTTTCACGTAAATATGCACAGAACTTTAATTATGATTCATCGAAAATCCCCAGGTGGTAATAATTCTGCTATTGTGTTAGTAAATTCATACAAAGCATTGCAACACCGCTTTATGCCATTGCCGTAATAAATATGTTCATAAAATTAAATCCGCTTGTTCCGGATATCGATGGCTGCGACGTAATTGTTTATTATCACAGAAATAGGCCACTAATAAACTCTACTAATATGGATGTATTTCTATAACTTCTGAATTTCTTCACTGAATCCTGTTGGTAATTTAGTGTTTATCGTTCAATGCAGCAAATCCAATTCCAGCAATCTACCAGCCGAAACATGCCAATATCGAAGTATAACTTACCAAGCGCTATAGAGACACTTTAGAGGATAATATTGGAAGTAGTATATCGCCGTAGTCGCTCATTACTATTCAAATGCTCTCGAGATACATCTCATCACTGTCTTAGATAAACACTGAGTTAATCTATCAAGTCTCAGATTGAATGCCAATGGGATTCGCTGATTTACATTTTATGAACTTCCCATGAACTCTAAGTGGCTTAAATTGTTGTAATAGCAGGGGAGATTACACAGGTCTTCGTCTCAGATGACTAAGATTACACAGCCTAAGATGAAAAAGGAAAGGTTAAATATTCCTAAAATAAATTTTAGATATTATACCTATATCTAAATGAGTATACTGGTTGAATTTGAATACGTAACAGATTTTTAAAATTTCCATGAAAAGATTGAATATGTTTTATACTACTATGGTCTTTGTATCGCCTACTCATTTTTATGCAGTATATTAGAAGTTTGACTGCCATAATAGGCGACAATATACATCAAGGCAATATTTTTACGACAATAAAAACACATGCTAAACCAGATAAATTACTTGTATTTTAATTATTGATTAAAGTAAACGGTATATGCGTTTTATTGAGTTTAAAAGTTGTACACCTGTTACTGTCACTGATCAGAATTCTTCGTCTCCTCGATCCAGTCCAGAAAACTGGCTACATTAGTGTACACACCAAGTCTGTCTGGTCTGGCGCACCCTTTGGACCAGGACGTGATTCCAGCGACAACCCCCTCCACCACCAGAGGTCCTCCAGAGTCACCCGTGCAAGCATCTTTACCCCCTACATTAAAAAACCCAGCGCAGAACATAGTATCTGTAACACCTTCTACGATGAAAGCTTTTTTGCAATCCTCTTGATCTGCAACTGGAACCTGGACCACCTGTAACACCTCTGGGCCCATACTCTCATCAAGTTCGTCGGTTATACCCCAGCCTGTGATTGTGGCGGTCTCGTTGGCCTTTGGCTTGCTGGTAGCCAAAGCGATTACTTTGGAATTGGCGACTGTTACCTTGGAAGCTAGCTTCAGAAGAGATATATCGTTTTCTGCTGTGTCATAGTTGAAGCCCTTGTGTTGGTATATCTTCTCCACGTTTACCAGTTGACCTCCCGATGTTGATAGTGACGATCCAGCTCGTACAGTTAAATTGTTGGCTTCAGCACTAAAAGCGTAATAATGATTATATATTGACCAAAAGTTGTGAATGAAATATTCCATCTAAGTCTATGAAGAAGAAAGACTTGTAGAGTTAAATGGTCCAACTTACTCTAATGTGCAATGGGCTGCAGTCAGTGCCCATTCTTCATCTATAAGAATTGCTCCACAGAAAGGTCCGAAGTCTTCGAAAATCAAACAGAGCTGATAGGGGTAGTCAGCGATGTCTGCATCCTCTCCTCCGACAATTCTGCCTCCGGGTAAGTATGGTCCTTCCAAAGGAGGAACACCTTGTATACGAATGAGTTAAAGATTATGTTAACACCTCACAAGCCAGTAGATATGAATCAAGTGATATAAATAATAAAGCACCATTAGCATGAATGAAAATATATTCACATACCTAATACTGAACTAATTGTTAGTAGTGAGAGAAGAAGCAACGCGAACATTTCGTTAGAAGTAAATGATGAAAATATACGGATTCAATGCGTTTATAGAATTAAATCTCAATGTTATCTTTGAAGAGGGTATTAGGATATCTGTCCACTCTAATCCTAGTTCTATGCAAGGTGTACCAGACGTCAACAAATGAAGAGATAAGGTTTAATAGTAAAGACATTTAAAACATCGCCTTAATGTTAAAAATACTGTCACCGCCGTTCTTTGTGGTGAAAATTCGAAATATTTGAAATTATTCAATTTTCGTGGTTGAAAACAGTATTGCATTGTCGAAACCAAGAGAATTGATCAGGTGTACAAATTTTAAACTCAATAAAATGTATATACCGTTTACTTTACAATAATTAAAATAAAAGTAATTAATCTGGTTTAGCATGGGTTTTTATTGTCATAAAAAATATTGACTTGATGTATATTGTCGCCTATTAAGGCAGTTAAACTTGGACACCCTTGGATTGGACACGCTGTATAAAAATGAGTAGGCGATACAAAGACCATGGTGGTATAAAACATATTCAATCTTTTCATGACAATTTTTAAAATCTGTTGTGTATTCAAATTCGTCCAGTATACTCATTTAATATAGGTATAATATGGAAAATTTATTTTAGGGATATTTATCCTTTCGTTTTTCATCTTAGGCTGTGTAATTCTCGTCATCTGAGATGAAGACCTATGTAATCTCTCCTCCTGTTACAACAATTTAAGCCACTTGGAGTTCATGGGAAGTTCATAAAATGTAAATCAGCGAATCCCATTGGCATTCAATCTGAGACTTGATAGATTAACTCAGTGTTTATCTAAGACAGTGATGAGATGTAGCTCGAGAGCATTTGAATAGTAATGAGCGAGTACGGCGATATATTACTTCCAATATTATCCTCTAAATTGTCTCTATAGCGCTTGGTAACTTATACTTCGATATTGGCATGTTTCGGCTGGTAGATTGCTGGAATTGGATTTGTTGCATTGAACGATAAACACTAGATTAACAACATATCACAAAATTCAGTGAAGAAATTCAGAAGTTACAGAAATACATCCATATTAATAGAGTTTATTAGCGACCTATTTCTCTGATAATAAACAATTACGTCGCAGTCATCGATATCCGGAACAAGCGGATTCAATTTTATGAACATATTATTATTATTACGGTATGGCATGAAGCGATGCTGCAATACTTTGTGTGAACATAATAGCAGCACAATTACCACCTGGGGATTTTCGACTTATAATTAAAGTTGTGTGCATATTTATGTGAAAAATAAGTGGACACAAAATTGTTCATGTTGAAATAATTACAAGCATCAGTGACTATTTTATTTAGACTGTAGCAATCAGAAGTGGGATTTGTTGAAAATTAGTGATTTACAAGATAGCTTATGGCAAAAGGTTTTTGACGTTTTAGTTTCACAATTCACTATTCCTGTTTTATAAAACAAACAAATCCAAGCGGTTTTGGTGTTACATACTAATATTTACTTCCGCGAGCTTCAACATAGATTTTTTAAAGGTTTTCGTTATTTGGAAATAGAAAACCTGATGTCCTTATTAAAGGATGTACTGTTGTACAGCCAAGAACAGAACAGAGCAATAAGAGAGAACGATGCATTTCAAGAAGTTATTTTTAATAGACAATAATGTCAATAATCATCACAGGAACTGAAAGTTCTGTATCAATTTCAATCACACGCCATATAAATATAGACTTTACATCACTTTAGAATACATACAACGAATGATTAACGATAGTGTTTATCAATGCGACACGGACAATATCCAGATCGTCATTTACTCTCCATGTGACGTCATGACGTGGCAGCGGGTGTGCGCAGTATATCTTAGTCTGTATCGTTTGTAATTTCCTTGAAGTATTATTATATCTTCTTCTTGTATTTGTCTCTTCTTCGATTCTGCTTTCATTTGGACGGTTCGTATCTCTAGTTAACATTATTTGCTACACAGTACATGTTATAAACATTTTTTGTTACTTTTTTCGAGTATGTATAAATGACATAGGGTTGACCTGTGTACAATAAAATGTTCTGCTTCCATTACATAGGCTTCATACCTCTGAGAAGCCCAGCTGTTGCCGTCTATGAGTTGTTCCCAATCCGGATTGGTAATTACTCATCCTCTTCCTCAATTATTCCCTCTTAGATTAGAACTATCCGCGTCGATAGCGAGGGTGTTCTAATTATGCCCATTCCGCCCATTTATGGGAATCTCCTTTGTTTATGCATACGCCGACGTTTCCATGAATATCTAATGCCACTCGGATCGTTCTTATTGTATTATTAAGCCGCGTTCCAAGGACCCAGCCTTAAGGACGAAGGCCTACTCGCAGCGTCCCACCCAATCTATACATTTTAAATTGGGACCGTTTGTGGGGAGGGATGATTTGCGTAGCGGAACAACGCATTACTTAGTTTATTCACCACAAATTAATCGCTTATTAGTTACAACTAAAAGCAAAGTTGTTGCTACTAAACTTATATTAGGCGTCCGGCAACGAGTTTCAGAAGAATAATTACTCTTAAAAGATTCATTAAAGCAGCAAATGTGTTTTTTGTACTGCGCTGTATCTCAAACCATATCTAATGCCGCTCGGATCGTTCTTATTGTATTATTAAGCCGCGTTCCAAGGACCCAGCCTTAAGGACGAAGGCCTACTCGCAGCGTCCCACCCAATCTATACATTTTAAATTGGGACCGTTTGTGGGGAGGGATGATTTGCGTAGCGGAACAGCGCGTTACTTAGTTTATTTACGACAAATTAATCGTTTATTTGTTACAACTAAACGCAAAGTTGTGGCTACTAAACTTATATTAGGCGTCCGGCAACGCGTTTCAGAAGAATAATTACTGTTTAAATGTTCATTAAAATAGTAAATGTGTTTTTTTTTGGCTCGCGCTGTACCTCAAAGGAAATATCTTCTCCGGATTACGTGAACTGTTAATTAAGATTACGGCCGGTGCGGTTAAGCCGATGCGGGGAATACAGAGATTAAAGTGAAACAAATGTTCCTACAGACCAAACAAAATTACTTATCAGATTATTAGCTTAAGCACTCACGGGAATTGTTACGCCGCACGTTCAACCCTTATGAGCCTATAAAAAATACGGAATGGCTTGCGAACCGGGCGTTTTTTTTATATATATATACGTACATATGTACGTTACGTGCATACATCTGTACACCACAATTTTGTTTTAAACAGTAATCTTATTTCCGTCAAGTTGGCAATTAAATTTCGGTAAAATTAAAACAATAAGATCAAGATTACATTAAAACAAAACATTACGTTTCAGCAGCTGTGATTGGTGTAATTTCTTCACAAATGTAGATGTAGCGGTTTGTCATTGTTCATTGTAAACGAATCATTAATATTGGTGACGTCAAGATTTAGGATTTTTAGTCGACAGTGACAACCATGCAATATTGGTTGCCTAATCTCAGGGGTCACGTGACTCTGTATACATTGATGAAAGCTGTGTACCTCAAAAATCCTTCGAGAAACCTCTAATTGCACCAAATTCATCAAAAAGTTCAAATACATATGTCAAAATATTTCAAAATAGAAAACTTTAAATACCTCAGAAGGTCAATGACGGTCACAGTAATGGTCAATGTTTTTAAACACACGAAGTCATTGATTAACATATGGTCTTGGGGTCGTTGGCCTTTGACCCCACATGCATTGACCTTGAAGTCGTTGGTCCAGGTATTTTACAGAATTATGAAGTGGGTAGTTCTTAGAAGTGCCAGACATTTTCTAGTACTATTTTGATGTATTTTGCAGATGATTTGACCTATTTTAGTGCATTTCATAGCAGCCCAAGGCTATTTCAACGTATTTTGTTGTATTCTTAATCTGTTTTTATTCATTTTAATGCTTTCTGAAGCCGTTCGCATTTTACTCAATTTTACAGAAGTTTTGATGTAATCTGAGGGATTTTAGAGACGATTCGAGGAATTTTGAAGTTGTTTTTGAGGAAATTTTATGTAGCCTAAGGCTATTTCAACTTATTTTGTTGTACTTTGAAGCTGTTTCCATCCATTTTAATGTTTTTTGAAGCCGTTTGTAGTTTGATTAATTTTAAAGAAGTTTTGAGCATTTTGAAGGATTCTAGAGACGATTCGAGGAATTTTGAAGTTATTTTTAAGGAAGTTTTATGCTATTTCAACGTATATTTTAAAGCCGTTTCGATCCATTTCGAAACCGTTTGTAGTTTGATTAATTTTACGGATGTTTTAATGAATTCTGAAAGATTCTATAGACGGTTCGAGCAATTTTGGTGAATTTTGTAGTTATTTTTGAGGAAATTTTATGCAGCATAAGGCTATTTCAACGTATTTTGTTGAGTTTTTTAAAGCTATTTCTATCTATTTTAATGCTTTTCGAAGTCGCTTGTTGTTTGATTAATTTTATAGAACTTTTGATGCACTCTGAAGGATTCTAGAGACTATTCGAGGAATTTTGACGGATTTTGAAGTTATTTTTGAGAAAATTTTATTCAGCCTAAGGCTATTTCAACGTATTTTATTCTTAAGCAGTTTTAATTCATTTTACTGCTCTCTGAAGCTGTTTGTATTTTGATCAATTTTACAGAAGTATTGATGCATTATGAAGGATTCTAGAAACGATTTGATGAATTTTGAAGTTATTTTTGAGGAAATTTTATGCAGCCTTATGTTATTACAACGTTTTTTGTTGTATTTTAAAGCCGTTTCGATACATTTTAATGTTTTTGAAGCCGTTTGTAGTTTGATTAATTTTACAGAAGTTTTGATATAGTCTGAAGGATTCTAGAGATGATTCGAGGAATTTTACAGTTATTTTTGGGGAAATTTTATGCAGCATAAGGCTATTTTAATGAATTTTGTTGTATTTTAATGCAATTTTAATGCTTTTTGAAACCGTTTGTGGTTTGATGCATATTGAAGGATTCTAGAGACGATTCGAGAAATTTTTAAGGAAGTTTTATGCAGCCTAAGGATAT